GGAAGCAGCTAGTATTGTATACTTCTCGACAACGATTCTGTTACAGAGCTGAACTTTAGACGAGCGTCTAATTCTGTTGAAAGCACTGCGCGTCTCTCCCCGAGCGATAAAGCTTCCTTATGAAAGCTGCAGTTCGTTTATCTCTAGTGAGGTCCGTAATTCCTTTAAACCGGGAAGTGATTATCGAGTCGCCGAGTCCGATCAGCGAGCGAGTTAGCGACAGTTATGCAAAGATGTCATAATACCGCTGCGTATGTTACGACCGGAAATGCCACCACAATGCACCGCCTCTGAGGAGCTTTCGTTTATCGCTTCAGGTTCCGCGCACCGCCATTAGCCGGCGATACGTCCATTAGGTTGACCATGCAGCGGGTACAGAAAAACAAGACTGTTAAGCTAGAGTATCGCGAAAACGAGCCCAATCCTCGTATTGGTTATACCAGCTTGTGGTGGCCATAAACGAAGCTTTACACTTCCCGAGACTTGAACACTTGAAATTCCCAGGATAAAACATAACCAGTTTTTGAACAGGCAAAAGTAATGATGACTCTATATAATTATGATAATATACATAAAGTACCTGTTTACAACGCATAAAAAAGGTAAATGTTGTCAAATTGAGTTATTTAGAAATACCTAGTTTTGTATATCTCAAGATAGAAGAAGATATTTCAAACTACAGGCCAATCAGCTTACTTTCATCTATCTACACACTATTCTCATCAATCATCAATAAAAGGATAAGTACATCACTTGAGCTAAACCAACCTGTAGAGCAAGCAGACTATAGAAAAGGGTTCTCAACAATAGACCACATTCATACACTGGAACTACTAATAGAAAAATACCAGGAAAAACGGAGACCTCTCTATATTGCCTACATTGACTACCAGAAAGCATTTGATACGGTATCACACGATAGCATATGGGAAGCCCTCAAAAACCAAAGTGTAGAGCAACAGTATATAGAATTCATCAGGAGTCTCTACAAAAATAGCACAGGCAGAGTCCAGTTGGAAACAAAAGGCCCAAGTTTTCCTATAAAAAGAGGTGTGAGACAGGGAGATCCCCTATCCCCAAAATTTTTCATAGCAGTACTAGAATATATCTTCAGGCAACTAGACTGGAAGAAGTACGGTATAAACATAAAGGGAAAATACCTTAACCACCTCCGCTTCGCAGAAGACCTAGTAATATTATCAGAAACCTGCTCTCAACTACAACATGATTGGATCTCTACATGAAGTAAGTTTAGAAGTGGGCCTTGAAATGAATTTGGCAAAAACTATGGTGATGACCCTGTTGGTCATCACCATAGTAAAGTAAGAACTTGCCAAAGAGGAATGGAGCGAAGCATGCTTAGCTTCAGGAAAGTACAAAAAATAAAGCATACAAAAGTAAGTCAATTAATAAAGTGTACAGATGCTCTACAATATGCCAAAAAATTGAAATAGAAGTGGGCCGGGCATGTAGCACGACTCCCAGATCAGCGTTGGGCCAGGATGGTGAGCTCATGGCAAGGCCCGGTTGGCAAAAGAAGCAAAGGAAGGCCCGTGAGAAGATGAGATGATAAAATTAAAAATATCGCTGGTCCACATTGGATGGAAGTAGCCTAGAATCGGGGAAATTGACAAATTTTGGGGGAAGACAGAGTTCTTGCTCATTAAATATTAATAAGAAAAATTTTAAATAACACTAGGATAAGTAAATTTATACAATTAACTAGTAAGAATTGTTTGTTGCAAGGAATAAATGGCTTTTTATTTTAAATGAAACTAATTTTACGGATTTATCGCGTTTATTTTTAATTTTTGTTATTGTCTGTCCCGTGACCATGAACGCTGTAAAGGGTTCGAAACGTCGGGAATTAAAATTAAAAATAAACGCGATAAATCCGTAAAATTAGTTTCATTTATAATGTGTAATCGCGTAAATACAAGAAAAAAAAACTTTTTATTTTATTTATTTATTTTATTTTATTTATTTAATATACATAAAGTACCTGTTTACAACGCATAAAAAAGGTAAATGTTGCCAAATTAAGTTATTTAGAAATACCTAGTTTTGTCATCAAAAACATGTTAATCGTAATTACGTTGAATTTTTGATTTACTTTTACTCCGTCTTTTGGGGGTAACGTTCATTATAAATCTTGTTAATTATACGAAGCGTGTACAAAATATATTCCTTGTGGTAGTGTAGTCTTTATATGGAAAAATACATTTTAGTTCCTATTTTATGGAAAACGAGAAACATACAGCATTTGGCTCACTCGATGGTTAGTTATTCGTCATCGTTCACGGAAATTCGCGTCGCCTGATGATTTACAGATGTGGCGGTGACTAAGGAGGGAGGGGGATGGCTCTTTTTCGTTTTGAGTGGGAAAAGTTCTTAATTCAGCGGGGACACGAGGGTGTCCCGCACTGAACTGGTTACCCACATGGCATTTGTCGAACCGATCGAGCTCTCCTCTTTTCTCCGGTACTAAGACTCGTTCCGGCCATATGGTTATGCCAGTGCCATAAGCACACCATCATTTTGGTGACCCTAGAGAAACTTCTCATTGTTTTATAGACACCAAGTAATACACTTCAACATTCGTCAATAATTATTTGTGAAAATGAGGCCGGATACAACTGAGACAACAAATTGGTATACCTGTAACCGCGTACATGTACCAAATTATTTAAAAGTATATTAATAAAAAAAATATAACTCTAATCCCTATCTCACTTTTGCATGTCTGGTGGACTGCCTTAATCTAATAGAGTACCTACTAGTTCCGACTGGCAATAACTTCTTCAATGTATGAATAATTTTTTTCAATAATTTTGAAATATTTAGGGCAATGCCTTTCCTAATGGGATAATAGAAGTTTGAAATCATTGCGTGGTTTCAAGTACCCAATTATCTGCTGTAGTGCCATGCAATAGTCTTCGCCGTTGCACGAATGTGCAGGTCCGTAGTAGACCGGTGTGAAGTAAAAGTTATACTTCTCCGTTTAGTCGGGTGAGTGATTTTTAACCGGGGTCCACTTTATTAAAAGGTGGCAACGCATCTACGGGTGTTGTAGGCATCCACGTTCATCTTAAGGTAAGTGATAACCGCGTTATCACTTACCTTAAGATGAACGGCATGCTCGCTTGGCACTTACTGTCATAAAAAGAAAAGAAAAAAGGGTTGTAGATGGGTGGACAGTCTTTTAAAAAGTGGGTCCATTACCACACTCACCAGACGAAACGCGATAGCATCATACTTCAACTTCACGTGGCCTCATAGCCGTAACTCTTCCCCGAATGAGTCCGCCCCGTTATGCAATAGTAAAAGCGGCTGCGTGGCCGTAACACAGTAACTCTTCATTATTATAGTGGAGGAGCAGGCAAGTGATCGCTGCCACTCGTCTACTTTCATAACATCAGAGGGACTGCAAAAGCGTGATGATATCACGAAAGTCCTAAGTCACACCACGGCAGTGGACTACCGGCCTTTGAGGTGATTTTGTTGTGACACGATTCAAAATTCAACGACATGTATTATCTCTTTCAAAAGCCCAATGATCTGAGCGATCCGAGGGAACTTGTCGACGATTAGAACAGCCCTCACTGGATGCTGTCAAATGATAGGTTGGTATTTGGTTGTCTGGGACACAGATAATAGCATTTGTCGTTTGACATCAGCCATTACCTTAATAAAATTTATGCAGGAAATGAGTGGGCAGGAAATAGTATCTTCTTATACTCAGGAGATCTAGCTTCATTGAAGACATTACTCTTTTTCTTTTAAGTGACTGCGAAATCCAACGAAAGGGATGTGGTAGGCTGGTAGGTTAGAAAACGTTACCAAGCATATACACCAACCATCGATGTCATCAATTTTACACTTATTTAATTGTGGGGATAAACAGTTACAAACATCCATAGTAATTGTTCCATACGTTCAAGTTATCATTTATTGTTCAAGTTCCAGATTTAATCCATATACCTTTTACATTTCGTAAGGGATCACATTTGTCTTTGTAATTTAGATAGGATACATTTTTTATGTGAAAAGTAAAAAATAAAATACTTTTTCTAGAACACCAATTTGACGTAGGTCCGGTATACCCATTACCTCAGTATGACCTCTGTAACATGAGGCATTATATTAGTCCAAATTTGCATGACGGCTGAAACGGAAATTATAGTGCTCTAATGATTGCATTTTATTGTTTAAACGTAAAACAATAGCTATTGTGTCATTTTAAACTTGCGGTTCATGGTAAAGTATAAACAAGCAGTTTTGTGACGAAGGTTTTCATTAAAAATAATATCAAAGGTATCTTTAAATGTTTTATCATTATTTTTATAGTATTATGGTTTATGGTAATATACTACTTCGTTTTGGAAAAAAAATCAACGTGTCTATTTTTATTTTTTAAGCGTTCTAAATTATTCATCCAAAAATCAAATCGATAGATTTATGTTTTCGAATCAAATTTCAATAGAAGGAATATTTTATAATATTATAAATTCAGTGAAACGAGAAGGTTATTGACGTTAAGAAAATTTCTAGGATTACACCGAATTAACGGTTGAGTTTTCATCACAATCTTAAGGAGCCGTACTGAAACGTCATTGCATTTATTGATCTATTTATTTGTGTCTATTATTTTATTCAGTCTGTTACTTTAATTCGAAATCCAGAAAGGATCAAAGGAATATATATTAAGAAGTAAATTACGAACGTCATTTATAGACGACTTTATGCGTTTTGAGGTTATGAAGAGTAAAACATTCACACTAAATTTTTTCGATGATAGCCCGATCTCAACATAGCCACGGCATGCGAAAGATTCCGTTTAATTAAAGAAATTTGCATTTTCCATGCGCCTCCGCGCCGCGAGTAGGGGTTGCTGCACATTCACTGTCATATAAAAGAGCGGGCGGCTGCCACGGAACACAACACTTGCGTTCATCTCATCAGTGGTTGCGTTTCCTGGGAGCCAGTCGCTGCCATACATAATGGCTTTCCGCTTGGCCGTGAGTAGCAGCAGAGCATATTACGTGATACTAAATTAGTTCCGGAATGTGTGAGAACGTCGCGCCAACGGACTTAGTGCAAAAAGTTCTCACGCGAAAGGTCGCGATTAAACTCAGAGAGGACCTTCTCGGTGGTAGATTCACGTTTAATAACTGGCTATTGGATATTATTAATAACTTTAAAACAGCTGAATCTCTGTCTACTTTCAAAATTAACGATTTTAAATTGAATATTCTTTTTTTATAATAATTTATAGATTTCATTAAAATATATTAAAGGCCGCATTATGAGTGATGTGATATGTTTGAGTAAAATTGTTCAATTCGCATTTCATTTTGTACACAAAATCAGTGAGCACAATAATCGGTATAATCTCGAAATAGTTCTAGAAACATTTCTCTCAGTCCTAAGTCCGACTAGTTTTCAACAGTGCCCGTGCAAGATGTTAGTGCCATAACACGTGTTTGGTGTAACAATGTTGCGTCATTCGAAATAATTGGGCCGATGTGATACCATCGGACGAGTTAGTGACCGCTTTCCATTTCGTACGGGCGATCGACCGCTTTATGGGGCCGGTGGATAATTCACGTGTGTGCTGTGCACTGTTCTAGCAATTCCGAGAGAGGAGACATTCGTCATTATTAGTCTGATGATTATTTTTTATCACTTATGCGTTCGTTACTAAACCGCTCTGTTGTCATTTCAGCTTACCTGTTTTCTACTGGCTAGCGTTGGCATCTGCTCCGCGACTTTTGGCACTGAACAGTTAGTATAACAATGCTCATTATCCTCATGAATTGCCCCATCCTTGGTTCAAATCGTCCTTACGTTACTACCAGCTTTTAAGTTATTGCAGAACGGTTATAAACAAAACGGAAAAAACTGAGAATGGGACAATTTCGTTGAGATTTCTACCGTAACTATTTCTCACGCCACTCTTCATTGCGGTAAATGGTGAAAATCAAACCATTGTTTATGTGTTCACCCTTATAGTTTTCACTTGAATGTTATCTGGCCTGCTGCTGTGCGACGTATGATTCCACATTGTTTTCTATGGCAATTGTTTTTGAGCTTTTGTGACATTTGAGCGAAGCGCAGTGCGGCTGTCGTTATAGTTTTAACGTTGCCTCAATTTTGTTTCAGTGTCCACATACGGGTTCACATACCTGAAGAGCATCACTCCTCGAAGGAGGTTATAGTTCACGAGCACCATGCAGACCACGGCCATGGTGGCGGTGGAGGCGGTGGTTATGGAGGGGGGCACGGTGGCAGTTTCGCGGACCACCTGCACGGAGGTTTCATTGACCACCTAAAGGGACACGACCATGGCCACGGAGGCGGATTTGGGGGTGGATTTGGTGGTGGCCATGGGATCTCTACTGGCGGATATGGTGGCCACGACTTAGGTCATGGAGATATCGGCTTTGGCGGTGGTCACGCAGGCGGCGGATTCGGAGGACATGACTTTGGCGGTGGTCACGGAGGCGGTGGATTCGGCGGACATGACTTTGGCGGTAGCCACGGAGGCGGTGCATTTGGAGGACACGACTTTGGTGGTGGCCACGGAGGGGGTGGATTCGGAGGACATGACTTGGGCAGTGGCCACGGAGGTGGTTTTGGAGGTCATGATTTTGGCGGAGGTCACGGTAGCGATATTGGAGGACATGACTTCGGGGGTGGTCATGATTTTGGAGGAGGCCACGGCGGAGGAATTGATTTAGGGGGCCATGATATTGGGGGCGGGCATGGAAGCTACAACTTAGGAGGTGGACATGGGATTGGCGAACACGGCGGCCACGATATTGGAGGTGGACTTGGTGGTGGATATGATTTGGGCGGCGGTCACGGCGGCGGATTCGGTGGCGGCATCAGCGGCGGCCATGGCCACGATTTGGGCGGTGGCTTTGGAGGCGGGTTTGGCGGTGGCCACGACGAACACGCACATCACGGCGGCCACGACAGCTACGCCGGCGGCTATGCTCTCTCGTCCGGAGATCACATCGGTCACGGGTCCGGTGGGCTCGGCGACTTCGGCCATGGCGGTGGACAAGACAGTTACAGCATAGGACACGGCGGGGGTGGTGGCCACGAAAGTTACGGCTTAGGCGGCCACGGTGGGGGCGGGGGCCATGATAGCTACTCGATCGCGGGCTACGACTCTCTTGGCGGTGGTCATGGCGGTCACGGGGACAGTTACAGTATAGGCCACGGCTCCGGAGGTGGCCACGGGATCTCCGGCATCAGTTTGACGGATATCGGTGGCCACGGCGGTGACAGCTACACGAACGCCCTGGGCGCAGGCCATGGCGGCGGACCCTATCATAAACGAAAATAACAAGTCTTGGCACCACTCATAATTGGTCAAAACTCAACTAAGTCATAGATTCACAGGTGCACGCCAATACAACGATTTAAATCCAGTATTAACAGTTGTACTATAACTCTCGTTTGTAAATAGCTTTTAGGTGTAAGTTATTGTTGTGTTGTTTTGTTTTTTAGTACATATCATTATTTAATTACTCCGTGTTTTATTGCCGACTGATTTACAGTTGTCACCTGAGAAATTATCCTTTGATTAATTGTAGGAAAGCGTTAGTTTTGCGTAATGTTGATGAATATATTGTTTTATTTTTAACTATTTATCTTGTATTTACCAAAGCTGTGAGGTTTCAGCGACAGATTGTAGTAAAGTTTGAAGCTCAAAGTGCAACCACTACACACTTTGATTTTTAAAGCTTAAATAAAGTTTAGCCTCTGCTAATTGAACTATAATGAATCTCTAAACACATCGCATTTGCCGATGCATAACTTTTCTAAATAAACGCAAGTTGAATAGTTCTTCGACGAAGATATATCATGACTAAATAATATATTTTTTTGAGGAGCGGAAGTATTTTAAAGCTTGCTAGACTTAGGAAGTGCGTTTTTTGTCTCTCACAACAGATGGCGAGCAGTAACCTTGTGGCACGTTTAACATCAACTAATTAAATACCGTTCAATATCACTCATCTAGCAGATACCATATCATTCTATGCGATCACATATTTTATGATAATTCACATGCAATCTTTTTTTTTCTTTAAATTTCACTGAAAAGGGTTGCGCTCGTATTTATTTCTAAAGTTCATACACCTTGTTGAATTTTCGCTATTAATACAGCTCGGTCACATCTGTGACACTACCAGAATTTTTACATAATATGCAATAGTACGAAAAGATTTCCATCGACAACTTATATTTAGTAATTACTACGGAAGGCGGGTGGGTTACTAAATAGGAACAGTTCATTTATACTTTACTTAATTCACAGAATGTAAATCAATGCGACCACCTCATCATTAAGGAAACGACAAAATATAATTAAAGCAGACGATTAAATAAATATAAATTTACGTAGAAAGCTCGATCGCTTAGTGCTGTCTTCACGCCAACAAACGAAATAGTTGTTTACATAACTGTCGTACCGTGAAAGTTAGCTGTGAAGGAAGGAGTCCATGAGGTCATAACACCATGTATGAGAGCAATTTCGCGCGCAATTATTTATGCTGTCCATTATAATTGAGTATCTCGCTTTATGATTACTGCTTACGTTGATTACAACGGTCTCTACGTTATGCAATCGAAAGTAAATGTATTTTTATACAATGTTTACACTGTAGTTATTATAAAATTTTGGAATACTAATGAATTGCTGAGACTGCACCTAAGATTTTCACTTCACACATTGTTATGTAATTATAATGCAGAAAGAACTTATACCTGATCAAAGATACCTGATAATTTTAAATTGGGATTAACAATACAGAACGTGACGTATTTATTAAAAATCCATTAATTCTATAACGCATGTTATATTAGTCTTTTTCCTATTATCATGATGAATATTATAAAGACGTTGAGGAGTAAATTGAATTCAGACGTCTTTTTGTAATTGCGTAAAGTTCACCTTATCACAAGTAATCTCGCAAATAATTTGTTTTCTTTAGTTTTAAGGGTTGCTCTTTAAATTAGTATTTCAGTTAAGATAAGTGTTGGGACTATATTGACGAATTGACTCACAAAAAGATGATTACTCTCATAAATGACTTATGAACAAATATTGTCTAAATTATGTTTGTTTCTAACACGAACAGTCATTCCTCGTTCATAGACTGATGTAGGCAAACATGTTTTTGCTAGTTTGGTTTTTTCGAAACTTCCACTTTCCGAGATATTTGTAGACGATATTGTAGATGCGAAACAGGCAGACGGTCCACTTATCGGTAAAAGATCAACGCCGCCCATGGCCAATACGTACACGGTGCTGCAGTCTTTCGCAGATAAGAGGTTGGGTCTCGAAGACCTCACTATTTTATGGGACCCTGTGAAGCTGCTATTTACTTTAATTTATGTAAGGTGTTAAGCGTGCGGTTCACGTGATGTTCAGTGACAACCGCCGCCCATGGCAACCTTTGCAATGGCCCGTAGGGTTGCAGATACTTTCCCAACTTCTAATAAAGTGTCATCTATAATAAAGTTTACTGCTCAAAATTCCACATTAAAGGTACGCGTAGTTTACTTATAATTTCCGTGTCCAATTTAAAGTTAAAGCCACAAAAATCGAAAACCCCGAGATTGAATTCAATTTGTAATTTTCAGTTTACTAACTGTAATTTTAGATACGACAATAAAGAAATTACATAAATGTATTTATTCTTCATTAATATCATAGTTTCGTTTTAATTAAGAGTAAGAAGAGAATTGATACTTTACAGGCTACGGACAAATATGCTGTTCTTCTTGTTAACGAAACAAATTATTGAATGTAGCAAGATTTGTATAATATAATAGCAAAAAACAAAGATAAACATAATTACCAATTAATAATCTGTATGACGAGAAAACAATAAAAATTAGATTAATATCTGTGAGCAGTTGCTCACGACCCAAATTATAGTTAATTATTTAAAATTCAATGAAAAATTCATCATGACCTGTGCGGTACTAATTTTTTTTCGCTTCTTATCTTGGACGGAATAAATTTGAATAAAATATTAATGTAATAGGTATGTACTAATGTTGTAAATGATTAGATAATCCGATTCTGTAGAGTCAACCGCTTTTAAATTAGTGTTAAAATCCCGACTTTCTGAATACTTTGCAGCGTGCAAGCATCCACTGACTACACGGTCACTATGTAGGTACGCCGACCGAAAAGAATTATCTAAAAGGTTTAAGATTAATCGTTAACATAAGAACGTGAACACCTCAATTGTGTCGATGAGATCATCGATGAGCATCGATTATGAAATCATCTCTGCTATATTATTACGACGTATACTTATTGAGGTCAGGAAATCTGAAAACCGTTTTATTTAACAAAATCTAATATTCGATAAAATTTAATAAATCGTCTGTATTACCAATATTTGTTGCACTTTCTTGAAACTCCATTATGCCTTTTGGGCAGATCTAGATTTGCCCAATCAAGTAATAAGTATTGAACAGTTATTAAATAAAATTGTTACAGTTAAATCGAAATGCATATTGTGAAACCATTTTAATTATTCTTTTATAATATTCAATCCCTGGTATTTATGAATAATTTTCTTCGCACTATTAATTATTAAGAAAACAAACAATATTGTGTATTTAAAACTTGTAAAAAAAAGAAAGAAACGTTTTTCTCCGCTGCGGGAATTGAACCCATGTCTTCGGTATTCGCGCTTCGACTACTTTAATCACCTCGGATAAACGGCTGATTGCCACACCGACGAAAATCTCAAAGTTTTTTAACTAGATTGGATTTGTGTTTGTTCGTTACAAAAAAAGTTCTTAAAAAAAGCTTTAAAAGAAGCCTTACTGTAGTTTTCAACTGATATTTTGTGAACATTGATTTCAATGTATTGTTTTAAACTTATTGAATTTTTTTAGAAACTTTTGCATGCTTGGGCAATGGGGTAAGAGTATTTAATTTACGTAAGTTGAGTTGCCGTGAGGGGCCCTTGGCAATCATTATGTAAGCGCCACACCCAACCCTTCTCTCTAGGACTTACCCGTGAAAGCTTCGACACTTCCGCATCTAGACAGACGGAAGTAGAAGCTGATGGTGCTGTAACAAAGTGAAGCGAAAAAGCACAACAGAGTACTTATTGTGAAATATTAAATTTATATTGCTCGGTTATTAATGCCTGTGTTTATTTGGCAATAATTGGATGGCTTTATAATGATGGTACCTACCTCTAAATCAATTTACTTTTTTTATTCAAAAAATGTTGGCAAGGAAGCCATTGTAATGAATACGAACATTAATTGCGCGATTAAACTAATGAATTTATTTTATGAATTACTTCAAACTTTAATTTGTGTTAGAATAAAATTTATTATTGTGACTACTGACACTGCAATAATTTAGGTTTGACTATAATGAATTAATTTAACAAATTATTATAGTTAATTTGTTCTGTTTTAAATTGAATGCTGTTTATGGAGAAAAGATGGTAAATTATTATCACCGCACATAATCACCTGCAATACCCGCGGGGTTTCAAAAAAGTGCGTTGCTTATGTTGATAATAACAAAACATACAATACATCATTTCTATTTAAGGATCCAAAAACTTTAAAGCCATTCTGTGAATGAATTATACCAATAAAATTAATGTAACATTAATCTTATTCGAACCATTAAAATTAATTTGACAAATAAAGCGTGGAACGTCTCGTAAGTAGTGTGGTACAAAATTAGATAAAGTGTTATTTGATTAACATGTAACAAAACTACTTTTATCATGTTAGAGATTTCTAAAACTGCTGTATTCTATAGTTTAACCTGCGAATTTTGTACATGCAAGACATACAAAGATGGCTTTGCTAATAAGTTTTAAAAGGTGAAACAGAAATAAAATCGCTTTTTATATTTGACATGAAAATTATAAGATTGTTGGTTTTTGTATTACTTTCAAAGATTTATTATTTATGTACATACAGTTTTGACTTACTTACAGTTCAACTAAAATGCATTAATGTGGTTTTGATCGAAACTTAGCCGGTAATCGTAAAAGATTTTTGCGGCTAAAACATGTTTTTAAATAAATAATGCGTTACGGCAAATGTTTCAAATTATTTTCTCACTCATCCGCTACATATAACCAACATAGAGCTAAGATCACATGTTACACACTAGTGTTAGAACTACTTCATATAGTCAACAGGCGCTTAAATTTTGTCCCCATATCGAAGTTTACTCCTTTCTGTTGAAGGACTGATGACATTTAAACCTTGTTTCTGAGATGAATGGAATCGGTATTTATAAACATTTGTTGGCGGTTCTATTTGTTTCATAGCACGATGCCTTTCTTGCGGCGATGTGCTCTTGCTGGTGTTTTTATCGTTGGTGGCGTATTTTTTATTTTCTTTTTTTTCGTCGGGTTGTGGTCGGATCGACGTCGAGTCAGCGGAAACTTGATTCGTCTGGTAGTTTTGTGCTGATGACGTAGTTGCTACGGCGAAAGGAACAGGTGTTGTTGTTAGCGTCGGCGCTTCCGCATACTGAAAGTTGGTATTTGAGGCGTCAGGCTCAGACAGTTGGTCGTCGCTTAAAGTCTTGACTGCTATGGCCGTGTAGTATTGATAGGGGCGCGGCGAATCCTTTGCGGTATAAGCCACTGGGGTTACGCTACCGAGGAACTGCGATTGGTCGAGACTGTCTACATTTTCCAAAGCGGAGGGGGCACCGTCGTGGTCGCCGAATAGTACAGCGTCGTTCACGAAGTTATCCGGAAAATTCTGAAGGCCCCTCGTTCCGAAATTGACGTTCTGCGTGGAAAAAGACTTCGCGCCTTTCCGGTTTGGACCGTAAACAGAGTTGCGACTCTTCCCCTCGACTCGGTGTACGTTCGTGGGTGACGCGTAGCTGTCGTATTCGAAATTGTTTACGTTGTCTTTGAAGTTAACGAACGGGTTAGCGTCCTCGTATAGGGACAAACCGTTACCGAAGGACGCGCCAGCCTGGTAGCTTTGCGGGCTCGGTGTGTAATCGTGAATAATTTTAGAGGAAACGGAAAAAGGGGCTGGCACGTTGGTTTGCTGTTTCAAGCGGTAGTCCGTAGCCGGTTTCCCGTAATACGTGGGCACCTTGTTGCGGCCCTTGCTACTAATGCCCTCCTTAAACCTATACGTCGACACCGGTTTGAATTCACTAAGGCTCTCATCGTGAGAATGCACATAGAATGGCGCGGCGGTAGACGCTTTCGTCGGTTTCGCTTGATTTGGTGAATAAATGCTTTCGTAATACGTGTAATCACTGGGGGGAGCTTTTGTAGACCTTTGTGGGTATCGACTTTTGACCCTATTCGTTTGGCCTGCGCCTATTCGTAGACCCTGGCTGTTGTACGAAACTTTTGGCGGTAGACTCAAGATATCGCCAGTCAGATCGACTTCCTCGGGTAGTTCACCATGATCGTGGAATATGTGGTCGTGAGTTACCTCGCGCGGGTTATATGCCGCATATTCGTACTGCGACGGGGTTCCCATAGAACCCGTCACGGCCAGCGTTTGGTACGGATTTGAAGCCATCGCAAGTAGCTGTCCGTTCTTTAAAGGTATGAAGGGTGCGTAAGCTGACATTGCTCCCGTAGGTTCAACACCCACGATCCCGGAGTAATTTGGCTCATCATCGAAGACAACTTTGTGTATGTGTTCTTCGCTGTAGGTGTGTATGTGTTCAGTATTGCCGTCCACGATTTTCTCGACCCGCGGCGGCTTCTTGATCTTCCTTATCATGCCAGAGTCTTGCACGTCAGAATAGAATTGCTCATGGAAAGTCGACACGGGGTGCTCGTCGTCATGATGTGACGGCACCGGTTTCCGCGGTGGCGCCCTCTTGGGTTTTGCCTTTTGGGTGACCTTCTTTCTGGGGGGCTCGTTCACTTTCACCACCTTGACCCTCTTCGCGTGTCGGGCGTCTTGCGCCGGTGCAAGCACAGAAGTGGGCACTTCATAATCTTGCTCATCCAACTCACTGTGCGTGGGTCCGTAAAAACCACGGGCTCTGTATAGCGGCAGCAGCTTAGAGCCGGAGGCAGCCAGGCCTGGCACTCGTACGGACTCCTCGATCACGTCAACCGAATTGATTGGCATCAGCTTGGCAACGGCCGGCAGTGCGATATTCGTTGGCACGGCGACCGCGCCCTCAGCGCTCGGCATGTACGCCGGCGCATATTGGGAGGGCGCGGGATGGTTTGTTATGTATATCTTCTTGTGGTGGTGTATGTGCTTCACCGCTTGTGGTAGATGTATCCGGATCTTTTTCCTGTAACAGAACAGCTTTACTTTGTCAACGTTCTGGTTTCGGGGTAACGGACGCGTCAGCGTGGCGAGCGAGAACGGATTATGTCTAGCGTGGCTGCGCCTTGAGGTGTGTGAACAGACGGGTGATCGCACGCAAGCAAGTTTTTATGCGTTTCCGCATAGAGTCATTGGCACGACGCGTGACGCGGTAGTGGCTTTCACTCGTGACGTTGTGCCCTGACTCTACGTCGAGGATGGCTTGATGTACTATCATAAATATTCTAGTAAAGGTGCAGGCGGTGTTTGTTTCTAATAGTGTGTGTAATGAGTTATCGACTTACGCTTCCTAAGAAGCGTTCGTTACGCGACGGTTGGTTGGCTTAATTGAATTTGCTCACTCAAACGCTGTGAAGAAAGTGGACATTCGCAGGGCAAATGGACTCACATCGCTGAGCTTGAACAATCCCGGTCGCCAGTAGAAACAATTTTACAAGGAACTTCATCATTTTCTTCGATAGACGCGCAAGCAACATTCGCCGTGTGAAGAGGCCACAGAGAAACTAATTGTTATAAAAAAGTTAAAAACTATATTATGCACTTACTTAGGCCCATCTGCCCATATTTCAACAGAAGCGACAGCGACAAGAAGAGTTAACTGTAACAAAAGAATTTGATCAGCATTTCAATAAATCGATTGTTTTTCAGCACATAATAATAATAAATAATATTTTGGACACATTTTTACACAACGTATTAAACACATTTTTTTACTTTCTCAAGTCCCAAACTAAGCAACGCTTGTACTATGGGTACTAGATCACTGATAGACATACTTAAACATTCTTTCCTTTTGTAAATAAATACATATTATACATAAATAAACACGCAGACACTGGAAAAACACTATGCTCATCACACAATATTTTTGTGGGCATCGAACCCACACCCTATAGCGCAAGAGGCCCATAAGGTACACTACCCATTACGCCATTCGAGTCGTCAAACATCCTTTTTTATTTTAATATTTGTGGATAGCAATATCATTACTAGATTTATAACATTATATTTATTGCATACAGGTTTTTTAGAAATTTAAATGTTAAATTTTTCTAGATATTTTAATAGCATACAGGTGTGTTTTACGAAACACGGCATTATATCTGTTTTGAAGTCTATGCTTGTACTTCATCGGAGTTTGGACTGGACGTTACTAGGTGCTATTTTCTCTTATTTTATTGCTTTATAATGTGGAGATTTATCACATTCTGGGGTTGATTAACATAAATATAAAAAATAATTAAAATGGGACACCTAAAAAGTGAATAAATAGATTACATGAAGCATAAAAAAGTATTTTAAAAACATGTACGGGGTAAGAGGTTTGCGGTAGTGGTGGCGGTCATCACTTTCGATATCTTTTAGATTGTTGAAGCGAGCAATTATGTATTAGCTATTTGACATTAGCTCCATAATAGGTACTTAATAAGAATATTGTCGTAAGTATTATAGAGCTAATCTTTGTATATATAATTCTTCTGTACGTGTGTGTCACTGAACTCGTCGTAAACGAAATATTTTGTGCGTAATTAATGAAATTTTTTGTGTCTTCAGGTCGACTCGATGGTTTAGATTCACAATTCGGTCGACAACAATTGTTCTTTTTATTTCTAAGTTGTCGTTTTTAAATAGTGTGTACAGGTCAACGTCGACATACAAATCTCTGGTAATCAAATCTACAGATAGATAGAATATTACAATCGACCAGATAGGTCTGTTTGAAAATTGATGTACCCAATTATTATGAAGCTTCTTCAGTTTAAGGTTAGAAATCAAAACTTAGCTCTATGCATCTTTAATACTACTGTCTGCTTCTGTATCAAAAACTCACTGATGTTTGTAAGTTGTAATTATTTCAAAGTTTTCATATAATATTATTTAATAAAATTAAGATCTTACATAAATTGACACAGCGGTACAGTTGACTTGAATTTCGTATACTTATATAAAAAAATGTAAATTTGTTCGAAATCGACGACGATTACATTTCGAAATATAGATATTTTTGGATAATTTTGAAATAATTTAACAGACAATACTATTCGTGTCTACGTAACCATATAAACAGATGCATTATGACTACACCTACAAACAAAAAAAAAAGTATTTGTGTACTTGTGAACACGTATGAAGTTATAATTTTTTAGCGTAAGAAAAGAAAAATAACGAAAAATTTCATCACCCGTGCCAAAATATTTGTTTGTGAAAATGATAGTAAATGCAATTGATAACGGTTCATGTCAAAAAATGTTATTGGTTGCCATAGTGGTACCCTGAAATTGGTGTCTGCAACAAACTTCATCATGTCGCGTAAAAATTCCACCCCAAAACAATTATAACTTCAATGATATATCCTACTTAAATCATCCCGTTTGATACAGTTTTGTGCAAAACATACTACAGTTTGAAATTATAATTTAGCAAAAATTTTTTATCATTATATACTTTGCACTTCCACAAACTGTAATTCCGTACCAAAAGGATTAACTGAATGCAAGATAGACATCCTAAGTTTCATTAAATTATCTTCTTCGTTACTGATCATAAAACACCTTAATCACATAAAGCTCTTAAACCACTGTGTCACTGTCACTATCAAGCACGAAATAAAAAAAAATCATCCACTTTGATACCGACCAATTTTAACCAATCCATTGCCGCCAATTACTGCCGCGCCGTAGACAAACTTTAACACTTTTTTTAGTTCTGCACTGGTCAAAACCTCGCCGGCCTTCAGGCTATTATGGTCATTCACGAGATGCTCTTGTTTATTTATAACGTTCAGTTTTACGCCTGAAAGAATACAGCGTATCGTTTGTGTCTGTACTGTGAAAATGCAACAATGCGAATACACACAACGTGTCTGTGTGATTAACATGCAGTTTAAACGCATTTGTGTGTGTTCAAAGACAATAATTCACGTACCCTAAATTAACTTTTTATGGGACAGTTATAAAACTCGATGTGTTTTTTGTTCGATCCTTACCATACATACCTACATCCATTTAAGTAAAATGCTTATTTTACTGTGAAACAAAAATCTACTCCAATGTCCTGCTCTTAATAATTGTACTAAGAACATTTAACTGTTGATTACATTTTAAACTTTCTTCATCTTGTACAAGAAGGGTTAGTACAATGGCTGGATTTGTATTATATTTTGTATACATTTTAAAAATGTTAAAGGATAACAACTTTTTGTATATAATGAAATGTTAAGTAGTAAATTAATAAGAGAACATCTTATAAGGTGTGAATTGCTTATAATATAATTTATTTTTATTGTAAGTAAGTGTAATGATATACCTATTATTTTTCTAATATACATAATATTATTACAGTACTTTACATAATTATAAGATGATACTTTAAATTATACTGTTCAACGCAGGTTCGAATCCCGCAGCGCCATTTTTGTTCATTTATCTACAAGAAATTTATAATTTAAAATTAGCTGAATTGCCATATTATTATAATAAGCATTGTAGCATTTATATTAAATTTCGATTAAACACTGAAATGTTTTCATTTAGTTTGAACAAGTTGTGCATTGATGAAAATACTGTCTTGAGCTGTCTGGTACTATAGTTTCTTGCGTCGCTCTGATCCTGCGAAATGTTTTATTTATTTTTCTTCCATTATTATTATTAAAATTTTACTTTTATTGTACATAATTTTAATATCAAATATATTGTCATTATTGAATTTCATTGGGCGAACAATTAAAATTAAGTAAACCAAAAATCACTATTAAAATATCATAATAGGAATTTAAATTACATTTGAAAAGAAACCAAAAATTTTATTATAAGTTATAAGCTATGGCAGTGGATGGTTTAAGTCCATAATCCTCATTTTTACTTTTTTTTAAATCAAAAGTAAGCTGCTGTCGTTTCTTGAATGGACGAGTGGTACGTTTGTTCGTGATGTATTTTCCCTCGTTATAAATGGCTTTGTTATCTATCTAATTAAATTACCTTTCTCATGGTCCTCATGTAGCAGAGTTAGGAATGATTATTTATCATGAGTAGATTTTGCAAATAAATATAGTGCAAAATACAATACCGTATATTACGTTAATGTACTTTGCACGTGAGTGTAACTAATAAACTATACTATAATTGTTAATTCAGAAGTAAATTGCGCTTGTTCTCGCCTCTCGTTACGTCCGTCGAACAGTTTTAAATGGGTTATTACTTGATTAATTTTGCAATAGGTTTTGTTTGAAGGCGGTAAAGCTAACGCCGGGCATAAGTCTTGAACCGTTTACCAGAAATAGTTTGGACTACACAATGGAATTGGCTACTTTTTGCTACAAGTTTAGCAAACTGCTAGGAACCGTCGCTGTGATGAAGATTTATCGCCGTGTAACACGAATGCCTTCATCATGCTTGGCTTTGGTGATGTATTGGCGAGCGGACACGGAAAACAATTGATAGGTAGTTCAGTGTTTTGGGCGCGCGTCTTATAATTTAGCATATCAAACCTTTAAATCGGAGTTTAAAAGTTAACTTTGTAGAGGTTGTACGTACGTCTATTTCTAAGCAAAAAAATCGTTTATGTTTCCCCCATCAACACAATGTATTCACCAACAAGTAAACGTCATAGCGCAATTATTTTATAATGAAACAAAGACAACTTACATGACACTGCGTGAGTCAAACTGCGTTAAGCCTTTTGTATCATGTGCTTGATTTCGCAGTTTTACTCTTTTTGGATAGCAAAACTGCTTAAATTAATGGAGAAAAGGTCAAAGTCAACGGTCAAAGCTATATAATTGTTTGTTGTTTTGCTAGTCATTGGCGTTAACATGTATGGGTATATTAGTTATCAAGCTTTTATAGGTAAAGGCATATTCTTTGGCTACTTTATTTCAAATCAACAATTAAGGCCCATATATGATGTGTGATATAAACTTCTACAACAAGTTCAGAAATCCTTGTGTTCCAATGAAATACTAAGATATCGAGTTTAATAGTGGCAAGTTCAGCCTAATGATTGGAAAGTCGGACGTGATATGGATGATTTCAGGTTCCAAATCGAATAATTACGGTTTGCTTCTCCTCCCCATGATAAATTAAAAAAAATATATTGTATTATACAAAATATGATTTCTTGATGTGATATGCGTCCCATCATATACCAACCTAACTCTAAATTAAAGGATGACGGTCTAAGAAAGCTATCCTGAACTTTATCTCAAATTTTCAACAACCCATAGAATTTGAAATTATTAATGAAGGAAAACTCACCGGCCGTTATTTCACGCTCACAAAGCGTTATGCATCTCTAGCGAACAAAACACCGCCGCAGATACTGTTCTGAATCATTCGAGTTCGTACACAACGCCTCGGAAGTGCCGTAACTGAGCTGCGAAAAACATGAACGGAGGCAGAAAGCGATTGCGTCGGTCTATTACCTAGGTCGGTGGTGCGTGGCCGGGAACCGACAGTAAGGAGTAAAATAATACTATGGAAAAGGTAATCGCTTAACATCGGGTGAAACCAAAGCGCACTTACCACCTTCGCACATAAAAAAAAGCCATACCCAGACAGAATCTCAGCTTCCATTATTTGCAATGGTACGGAATTTACTTTAAGAAGGTGAAAATGGAATCCGCGATTGCAAAATATGGGTGAAGCAAGGTTTCTTAGAATCATTATAGGAACAGCAACGAACTGGGAGTGAAATAAAAAAAATGGGTGCATTTAGTTACGTAGGTACGCGCGTGAAGTACTTCTTTGTCATCATTAAAAAATATTTTTTATTGCATGCAAATAATTAATTACAATAACATAATAAAAAGACTGGAAAGGGACATCAATAATAAAAATACGAAAGCGCCATCTACATTCTTTATTGAGAACTGTAACGGGCGAATGTGATTGCCGAAAATGCTGCCATCTATATAAGCGGTTTAGCGGGCAGCTTCATAGGTGTGACTTGGTGTAACAGTGATGCACGCGCATCTTAAAATTTCACTCTCATTATTTTTTCATAACGCGCCTAAAGAAGTATAACTTCAAAAATAATTAAGTTTTTGTTTACTATTCGTTACGACTAACCAAATCACTAAGCAAATTTAAGAATATCCTAAACTTGTGAAAATGTAGCTAAAGCGTATCTTAGGAATTTAACACCGTCATCTTTTTTGGCGCAAGAAGTAATTTGTTATGCGTCACTTGCCTAAGGTTGGTTTTACTTCTAGTAACTATCAATTAAAAAATTGCATTGTTAAGTAACACCTTTTTATTTTGAAACTGAAAATAAAATTTATCATAGTAAACATTCTATCGCCGATAGCAAGTTTTGTATGGATGTTTATTTTTTTGTATAAAATTTAAACTTGTTCCAATTGATTCAGTAATTTTTAACGTATATTTTCTGTTTGAATGAACCGTTTGCAATGAAACAAGCTTTGAATGTTGCACAAAAGTATTCTTCGTATACTTTCAAAAGCACCAATTTTTTTTTGGCAGGATAAGCCACTGTTGGCCTTAGGGGCCTTTACAGTTCTGTCGGACTTGAGGTGGCCGAGCGCTCGGGGCGCCTAGCCTGAACCTCGGCGTATTATTATTACGCGTTATGGTGACAAAGCTCGAGGACTCCCGAGAGAGCCTTGGCTCGGGCTGTCACGCTATTGTTATCATTACCGGTTTGGGAAGCCACCAAGTTCTTAGAGCACTTTGGTGGACGCCCCATGGAGTGACCAGGTCCCCGAGAAGGGACCTCGGCCGAGAGAAGCCGCTGGGAGAAGAATTGGTGGAAGAAACTCCAGCAACGCATCATTAACAGGGGGAAACCTAGTACGTGGCGGAACCTAGTATATGTTTGCCGCACTCGGCGAGTGCGGTGTGATCTGGTGTGTTTGCGTAATTATTTAATCTATTCCTTTATTATACTGAGCCGTGATAGCTCAGTGCCGGGCGCTCGCCTTTAATTCAATATACTCGAGCAACCTGAGTTCGATCCCCGGTGCCGGCACCAATGAAATTTTTAACTTTAAGTGCCGACTTATCACGTGCTCCGCGGTGAAGGAAACCTATTTTCGAAATAATAACAAAAAAAAATTTTCGAAGTTATGTGAAGTCCGCCAATACGCAGTGGGGCCGCGTGGTGGACTATGCCCTGATACCCTCTGTTTAGAGGAGGCCTTTGCCCAGCAGTGGGACGTGTGTAGGCTGTTACTTTACTTTTACTTTATGCTAAAGAAGTGCAACTTCTTTCTTACGTAAAAAAGTGCACAAATACTTTTTTTATTTATTATGTACTTTCTTCCCCATGATAAATTTAATATAAGTATAGTTACTAGTATATCATTGACCGAAGTTTATGTAAAATTTAAAGTAAATCTTAAAGATTCATTCCTGATTTTTATGAACTTACTTAACATTTGCAAGTTCGTGCTGAGATGTAGCAGTCAATATTTTTATTTCTTTAAATAAGTTTCTTAGCGATTCTATGGAGTGTAGGGCTGAGGTCTAATAATTTCGCAGTCCAGTGGCGAACTAACCGGGAAGTGGTAGGGGTGGCCCACCCCCGGTCTCCAACCCTGGAGGGCCCCCAGGAACAAACAAGGCCTTATGCTTTGTACATACCTATCTAAACGATGATTTGAAGTTGGGAAGTCCCTATACAAATAAATAAATATTGACCTGAACCGCTTATTTACAATTTATAAACAAAATTACTATGAGTGGTAACCTTTCTAATCACTATACAGTTTTAACAGTTTCAAACATGTATTGCACCCGGCATTTTTCTACTATCCTCGGCAATATATTAACTGTTTACATATGACAGATCCAAGTAAAAAGCCTTTTCGTATTTCATATATTTTTATTGATTAACAAATATTGTATACTTATGTTAGGTATATTTGCATTTAACATCAACATTTAAATAAAATTTAACTTAAATCGTAATTAAATATAGAAATAAAATAGAATCATATGATTGTAAGTATTTGTTATAAAATTTATATATAAAGGTGAAATTTAAATCA